ATTAATAACTTGAACCCTCTAGACCACAAAAAAATATAACCATATCTCCATTAATATGCTATTGGATACAAAGGGTGGTCTTTCCATTATCTCAGTGCTGAGATCTACCTCTCCTCTGTATTTCAGCTACGTACCTTCTTTTTCTGTTAAACTTAAGAAGCCAAACTCTAATCGTATCTCCTCCACAGAGTCATGAAATGCCTTGCCTCTCAAGGAACTAAGTCCATGGTAAAAGTTACAGAAGATTTCATAACTGGTTGTTTTGTCTCCTTCACCTCTCAAAGACTTCTGTGGAGCTAGTCAAAATTTAACTCTGGAAGCATATGTTCTATAGGTCTTCTACATCTCAAACTTCAAAAGTTGAGGCAGAGGCACAATTCATAATTTTTTATCTCAATTCCATTTAAAAAATCATGAGTGTTTCTTCTCTTCTCACTGGTTTTAGAGATTTCCTGTGGGGTTTTTATAGAAGCTTGCATGTCTTGATGGGTATTAAAGGCAGACTGAGGTTCACAGACAGACTGCTGTAAGCTTTCTCTCTTTTTTTTGCATAACCTCTTGTAATAAAGTTATCAATTTAAATACCTTTATAAGTTAAAAAAATATTTCAAAGTACTCATAAATCTAGAGGTACTGGACCTTGTTGAAGATCTTCAGAAAATACAATATTACTAATCTTCAGGCCAAATTTTCTTTGCCTCCCAACAGACAACTCTTTCGCTAAAGAAGCGACTCAAAGGGTCTTGTCAGTTGTTCTTATGTTTGTTGGTGGCTTTTCGCTACAGAAGAGGACATCTTTATAAGACAGCGAGAACTACCATCCTTCTGGCATTTTTCCCATGCCCAACTTTTCATTCTGAAACTCTTGTCTCTTAAACAACAGTAAGTAACTCTTGCATAGTCTTTGCAATCAAAGCTAAAGAATACTTCTTTGTTATGGAGCAGTTGTACGTGCTTTTACTTTGGCAGACGATCTGCTCTTAAAGGCAACCAAAACAGATTGGTCTGTCAATGACACACTGTTGGTTCAAAAATAGGCAGATATAAAAAGATTTAAAGTAAATCTAATGCAGAAATAGAGAATGTAAATTAGTCTGATTATTTCTCTGCTCGTCACTTTTTCTTTTTGAGATGCTTTCTTACCTTATACATGGGACTAGTTTCAATTCATCTTTCAAAGTGGAAAGAAAGGTAGCATGATAGATTTCATTTGTCTTTCAGGTTCGTACATATTTTTGATGAGTAGAGCTAGGCATACAGCAAAAACATGATGAAAGTTTAAAAATAATTAGCCTTTGTTCTCTTTGTATCACTTTGATATTAATTTTGAATATGCCTTCAAGCAGGTGGAAAGCATGGAAACGTTCCAGTGTTAAGCTTGCATACTTACACTTTACTTCATTCTTCCAGTGCCATAGCCCATGAAAGTAAGCAAGGCAACTTCAGGGGTTAACACATATAGACAATACTTTAAAATTAATTTCTGCAGTCTTAGGTGAGCAGTAGCCTGTCTTCTTGGGTTAGTGACTTTGTTTTCCCTTCAAAGTTCACCAATGTGTCTTGGCTAATGCATACATCAACTGCATTTACAGCAGCTGCTGAGAAATCAATGAAGGTGAAAATACTGTGTGACTGTGGATAGTGTGAACAGTACGTACCGGAGTGATGAAATTCCACTGCCCCACCATTTACTGTTCCATCAAGTAGTATCTGCCATCTGACAATTATAGAGATGATATGTCTGTATAAGATCAACCGCAACGAATCCCGGATCTCCCAAGCTGTGCTTGCAGTCCTATTCACATTCTCACCACAACTTGCTACTGATTTGAGAAAAACAACACACTTCTGGAAAACCACAGCCACACATATTTTCTTCAATGTTTTGCCCATGACTTCAGGCTGTAAATCCAAGAGAAAATGCTACAGCAATACACTCTATATCTTCATTTAGCTTTCAGTTGCACTAAGAACTCTAAAAGCACTATCCCTAAGAGAAAGGCACCAGTAAGTATCAAAAGAGGTAAGTAGCCCAACTCAGTGGAACAGAACTCTGAAAATTTTGACCATACTCACATTTCTCCTAGTAGCAGCTATGACATTTTCTTAGGAAAACTACTACGCATTCTGGTATTTACAAACATATAATCAAGAGACCTGACAGATCTGCCATTGAAGAAAATATGTATATCTATAACATTATTACTAAGAAGTAATAGTTTCCTGCTGATGTTTACTGCTCAGCAAAGCTCTGTCATTACTTTTTTCTTTTTCTAAATACTGTTAAATCCATTATTTCTGCACTGATATCTTCTATGCAGGTTGTACCAAGCTTCTGATTGTCATCTTAAAGCAGCACTAGGAACACTACAGTACAATACCTTGCCTTTTCATCCCTTTTCCTCAGTTATGTTTCTGGATTCAATGCCAAATGATGCTCTACTCACTGTTGGCAAGAATACCTCCTACTAGTCTGTACCACTTCTAAAGCTAGGGAGGTAGCTAAAACAGGGGAAAGTGCAAAGACAATAAATACCTCTTTTGCCTTGAGTGCCAAGGCTGTTATCTCCAAGTCAGGTGACATGGACTAGCTTGCACACCTACTCTCCCACTGTCTGTAGGGCGTGTGGTAAGCCACTATCCTTCCTCCACCTGGGTTTTTCTAACCTGTATCTGAATTACTCCATTCACCATGGTAGCCACTGGAGTCAGCCACAGCCATTGCAGACCTCAACTAGTATGTACCTACCGCAGGTGGTTGAAACACTAGAATCCTAAAACAAAACAGAGAACAAACTAATGTGACTCCCTGACATACCTAAAAGACTCGAACCCACCTCTTTCAATTAACATTGCATACATATATTCCGCTATTCAGGATAGGATTTTTCAAATACCTGCCACCATCTAGCTTATTGTTGACAATTCCTTTTTGAAAAATGCTGAGAAACATCTCTTTCACTTGTGTAAAGTATTATCAGAAAACATGTTTAAGTAGCAAAGAAAATTCAGTTTACTGTTCTTATCCTCAGTATACAACAATCCCTACTTTTGTGCTGTTCCAGGAATTAGGGCTCTACTAATGAAAATTCAGATTCAGTATACACTCCATCAATAGAAAACAAACTTGCAAATAATGCAACTTCTTGAAGAGAAAACAGACTGTGGAAAAAAAAAACCTAATTTTTTTTTTTTTTTTTTTATTTAATGAAAGGGACAGAGAAAAACCCCTCCCTCCATTATTTTAAAAAAAAAACCTAATTTTTTTTTTTTTTTTTTTAATTCATGACAGTGACAGAGAAAAAGCCCGTCCATTTCAGCTTTCTGTTAGAAAAATATTCAAAATGTTTCCAACTGTTGAAAGAATTTGAGTCCTAATTTCAGGTCATATAAAAATCACATATCCACTCCAATCCAGTCACAGAAATGCTCTGGGTGAATTTTTAGTCTCCTTAGTGCTAGAGACTAGCATTACGTTCCTAAAACTTGAATTTCTAGAAAGAAATTCTGATAGCTATTATTTCTTGAAAAATAACGGGGCAAGTTTAAGTGATTTTCTGTAAGTAGTAGATAGAGCCATCAGGCTAAAAAGTTGCATTACACGAAATGCACCAACTTGTATGTGATAGAAATTGCTGAGAAGAAATTTCCAGAGATTATTATAGCCTTGTTTCTGCAGAGTCAAATAAAAAGGTGCAGAATATGCCCAAGTTACTAATGTTTAGGTAATCACCAGCAATACTAGTATACAGTTTATAAGTGTCATTTGAAAGATGTATATATTTGCTAGGAAAACAAAAACTAGATACTGATGCATGCACATACAAACATTTTTTGTTTTAAAGGAAAACTTAAAAATCTCTAAAGAGAAACTTTTCAAAAGAACTGACCTGACCTACTGTTAGTCCACATTCAACCTCCAGTATGGCCATGATCTAAAAGGTTCATGCTCACAAAGCCAGAAACATGTGCTCGTATGATTCTGAACACTTCTAAACACTCTTAGCACAAACCTGATCTCATTTTTACTATCTTACACACCGTATGTTACCAGTTAAGTATGCATTTACTGAATCCAGTGAAAACCATAATCCAGCAGTTACTACTCTAACTATACAGTACATAAAAATATTTGTTAGAACTTGTTTCATTTCACTTTCATGGCAGGCTATGTTTGAAATGTAAATGTATTCTTTATAACTTTTTTAAATTACTTTTTGTTTTAACCTAACATCATCATCATCCATTGAAAAAAACATGAGAACGACACACATTTGTAGCACTTCAGATCCACTTCCATCTTACAGGGAGAGACACCCAGAGCACACAGACAGGGCAAAACAGTCCCAGTATTTTTCCCAGCAGCCCTAGGGTCTCATCTGCTGGATGGATTTCACCTTGTTAGCTGGTGTCTCAAGGGCACCCTGAGACTCACACATTGTAAGTCTCATGCATTTTTATAAACCGAAATACCCAGAAGTAGAAGATGAGGAATGACAGGCTTCCAAGGCATTACTATAATGCAAATACAAATAGTAACTGTCTTCAAAAGCAGGCATGGATTTACTACTGCAGCTAACAGTTGTATCCCATTCACCATCTGCAAACTTGAAAAATCACGTGGAATACTTATTAGAGCATGACTGTGCACCTTCCTATGTCCCCTCCTCACTGTGAGACTACCTAAAATACAGCACAGCTGTTAAATAGCCTTACAGCTTAGATAAAGACATCGACTCCCTTATTTTTTACTTTACAGTGGAGTGTTTTTTAGGTAATTCCTTGCAGTCACTTTTGCTTTGCATATTTATAACATGACCCTTATACTTATATATAGATAATATAATGACAATGAATAAACAAAACCACTTATACTTGCAAGTTAGGATGCACGTGTCACATTTTTACAGCAACCTTTTATTAAGCCCAGGGAAAACACATTTACATGAGAAAAGACCTATTTAAAACAAAATAGAAATCTATAAAGTAGAAATTCTTACCCTAAAAAACTCTTTAGTGGAGCCAGAATCTAATGTCCCATAAGCAATTTCTGTTTGCTTGGAAAGATCCTCTGCACTTTCAATGGGAGACACCATCCTCTCAACGGTCAGGAAGGCAGCTAAGTTAGCCGTGTAGGATGAGATTATGATGAGGGTAAAGAACCACCACACACCTCCAACAATGCGCCCAGACAGGGATCTAATAACAAGTATGAAATGGATTTGTAAAGTGAAATGAAAGTCCTAAAAAGGAATACACGTTATCACTTTTATGCAAATGATGCAGTATATTTTAGGGAAGCATTTCAGGCTATCTCATAGTGCAACTCTGCATACTAATCAGACAGGAAATCGTGGCATCCTCCACTAAATCTGGATTTTGCCGAAATCAGGACTCCAGAGTTTATTTTATGGAGAATTTAGTGATCTAGTTCTTCAAAGTTATGAACACCCTGAAAGGAAACTGCTCCCGTCATAATGTGCTATATTTAACACATAAGCTTGTTGTTGCCTCTGAAGTGAATTTGTGTGACATTATGAAGAGGATCAAACAAAATCAGTGAAGCAGTGCTTTCAGATAAACCAGTATGCCCTTAAAAATTAAGTGCCTTGCTTATTTTCCTAAGGCATTTGGAAAAAGACTGTTTTCCACAAAAAAAATGGGTTATATTGCTGTAGACAATCTATACCGAGAAACAAATAGCATTATTTGCAGTAAAAAATGGCCCCGGGAATATCCATAAACTAAAAAGGCACACAACTTTCCAAAGAAACAAGCATTTAACAGACTACGGACTGAACATAAAACAATCAGTGATAATACAGAAAAACGGTGAAGAAAGTATATTTTTAAATAATAGTAATCTGAAGTTTTTAACTGCAGCAGGTGGGCTCTTAGGGATCTTTGTTTTGCTTCTCCTGCTCAAGAAGAGAGAAAAAAAGAGAACTCAAGAAAATATATAAAACAGCACAGAGCACACAACTAGAGAAATTCAATTATTTTCTATACTAGAAAATGAATAGAAGAGAATTATTGATATTGCCATAATTGTCAAACTTGACATTTTCTTAACGATCCTTTAAGCTTTGAAATTACTTACTACTTTGTTTCCAAACGAGACATTATAGGAAGGAATACATAATCTTTGGAGATGTGCTTAATTATCTGGCATGTAGTTGAAAGTCTAGTACTAATGTGCTGCAGTAGTTTAGGTACGTCTTGATGTGATTTCTATATCTATTAAGTAAACAAATTACAAATCACTCACCCAGCCTACTGTCCTGTGAATGAGATTTTAATCCTGACAAAATACTTATACAGATAGATATAACTATATATATAAATGTTTAAACATGGTCTTTATGTAAAGCTGATTTATTAAACTGGGAACAAAAATAAATAGAGCCAATTCTGGACAAATTATTTTTACTAAGTGCTATTGTATAAAATCACTGTGATAATTCAGATATTAAAAGATTTAATCCACGTCACAAGAGACTCACTAATTTACTACATGAAAGTCCAGTCAGATAAGGTTCATTGTTAAAAAGGACCATAGAAAAGAGGTTATCATAAACTAACTAATAAACTAATAAACTAAGATGCATTCTGGAAAAAAAAATTCTGTCACCTTTAAAAAAATATTGCAGACTTGTTTTGAGATGGAGGTAATCTGAGTATAAAATAATTCTACAATTAAAATATTCAATTATATAAGAAATATATATTTGCAAGGCAAGATCTCTGACAATGTGTATTTACTGACAGCTGATTTTATGGTACTTTATATTGTATTGATGACACCTACTACAAATGATAATCAACTAACTAATAAACTAATAAACTAAGATGCATTCTGGAAACGTGATTTCTGTCACCTTTGAAAAAATATTGCAGACTTGTTTTGAGATGGAGGTAATCTGAGTATAAAATAATTCTACAATTAAAATATTCAATTATATAAGAAATATATATTTGCAAGGCAAGATCTCTGACAATGTGTATTTACTGACAGCTGATTTTATGGTACTTTATATTGTATTGATGACACCTACTACAAATGATAATCTGCAAAAGGCCAAGATCTCTCAGTTGGTTGCCACCAACTTTGCAAAAAAAGAATAAGCTCAATGCCATTTCAGATATTATGCTCCCACATAACATTTTATAAGTAAAATTTTTTTGGGCGTCATTTTTATTCAAAATTTTCCCAAAAGGTTTGTCCCAGTTAAATAAATAATTTATTTTCTTATGTACATCTTGAAAAGTTTCTAAAGATTGAAAATTATATGCTAGTCTGAACCCATACTTTACAAGCACCTCACTCATCAGATCATTAAATATTAAAATAACCATTTCTGTGCACAATTACCTAAATTTGTGCACTACATTTTATACTTACAACGGTATTTTATGGCAGTACTAAGAATACACTCACATCCCAAAAAAGATGAGGATAACTTTGCTGTAAGTTATCATTATCTTTAATATATCATTCTATTCTATTCTACTCTATTGTTTCTGTGCTACCCACGATGGCAACATGGAGACTGCTACCGCAGACCAGTTTCCAGGTGGCTCAGTCTTACTCAGCACCACCTTTTTTTTCCGAAGTCAGAAAGCTCTAGTTACTTGTCCACTCTAAAATTCTTACACTGGTTGTCATTTTACTAGAAAAAGAATAGTAGTAATAATGTAAAATTTAACTTCCCAAAGATATTTTGCTGATGCCTGAAGATACTCCTTTTCATATCTATTTTGATTCATTTGCAGGGAGTTCAAATGCCATAGTGATAGTTTTAGTGCAAGAACAAAAATAACTAAGGTGGTTTTAGCCCTTTTCTATGTTAAACAGGTAGTATATAAACTAACCACTTTCCTCAAAAATATGTTTGCAATGAAATAAAGTTCACTTCACTGAATCTTGAATCTCAAAAATTGAGTTTCATACACATTTTATGATGACCATTTACTATCATTATTCTTACATCACCTTTTAAAAGTTATCAAACCATGCACAACAACTGTCATGCTTAAATAGCCAGTAAAATAATAACAACAAAAAAAATCATTATTCTACTATGGCCTTGATTCAATAAAAATAATTTTGTATCTAATAGGGGACTTTGCAGACAACTCAACCTGTGAAGTGTGTAATCGATACAAAGACATCACAGGACTGAAATTAACACGCCTTCTCATGACCTGAAACAATTTGCTCTCTCTTCACTGCCTTGTTTCTTGTCTACAATTCTTATTGTGTTATATGCCAAATTCATCACATCTTTCATCGTAAAGGTGCATATCTCAGTGTGATATGCCAGCCTTTACAGAGAAATGATAAAGTTCTCACACAATAAATGCTCTGCTATTTCTGCAGTAGAACAACTTAAAAAGCTGCTGTTGCCTTTTGGGATGCATGACTTGTATCTAAGAAGTGCTCCCTTGGTGTGATTTATTTTGCACACTAACCACTAGACTCACTAGAAATTGACCTGTTTCCTGTCTTAATTTAGGAAGTTTAGAAGAAAGCTAAATTGCTTAGTATAATTAGCTAGGTCTTCTGATTGGATTTCCTTAAACCCAGTTGCCCTATTTCACTGGTTACTATAGTTCCTTCAAGCAGCAAGTAGTTAATTACCTACCCACTTACCACTTTGCTGAATCAAGGCTAGAACCAGTTGTGCACAAGGGAAATAGAATATTTAATGAGCTGCAAAGGAATTAACGTAAGTGCTTTACAGTTGTCCCTAATAAAGTAGGTGAAAATCCATGAGGAATTCAGCATTTATAAACTGGACCTTCAAATTCATTTCAGCAATCTCCTTTGTGACTTTTCTAAAACTAGGCCATGGAAAAACAACAGTGTTTTGCAATTGTTCACATGAAATTAGAGCTATCACATGACTTTTATTTCAGCTCAAGGCTCTCCTGTAAAAAATCAGTGGGTTAATAACTGTGTTATGATATGTAGTGAGTTTTGAGGGAAAGTGCTGCCTGTGTGGTTCGTGACTAGTATGTTACCCTTTTTTCCCATTACAGTTGTTGTGAACCATATGCACTGTCAACTGTAAAATGGGAATATGCAGCAAAAACACGGTACCCCTCCAAGAAGGCATGGAATGACTTGAACCTCATGCATTTTACAGTCTCTGCATGGTGTATATAATTTCACTTGCCAAATGCATGATCGACATTAAGACATCGATCAAATACATTGTGACCCTATGTCACAGACAACCGCTTTTATTTCAAGGACTTTTGTGATTTTAGGGAGGGAAAAAACATAGCAATTTATTTCTGAGAGTGAAAATATATGCACCATGAACCTCCTCTGGCTGAGATGGCTGAGACCTAAAATGCACAAAGTTGAAATGGGCGAGTAACCAACCTTGGCGAAATATCGCATCCTTGCTGCATAAAGGCACCCAGGGAAAACCAGAGACTATTAAATATCCCAAATTCATTAGTTGATTCATTAGTTTGGGTTTCTCTTCCATCTTCAAATTCCTCAGTGTGCCACTCGTATGGGCTAAATCTGCTGACCAGGAATAAAACTACACTGACCCCAATGTAGGCAAAAACAATGCACATCCAGATTTCATATGCTAACGGATCAAGAAATGAAAACACTCCTGGCTTGGACTTCTGAGGCTTCTTGATCATTATAGATATCCCCAGGCTCATAAAGGGCTTTGAGAAGTCAATCACTTCTTCTCTCACCAATGTTATAGTTAATGGAGCGATTGCAATATCGGCTTTCTGTAAAGGAAGAAAAAGAGCAAATAATAGCTAATACAATCATCAGAGCAAAGAATGGGTTTAGTTTCTATTGCATTTCACAAATGGAAAGTAGGACAGCAGAGACACCAGCAACATTTGTTTCAACAAGAACACCCTGTCAAAAACTTCAGAAATTTTTAGTTGAACCTCCTCTTACTGAAATGCATATAACCATATGGTTGGCATATTCCAAGCTTCCCTTTTCACACATTCCCTTTTAAAGGTATATCACATTTGTGTTAGTAAAGTACACTGCCTTTCACCTGGTCAGAAGGATGAAATATGCACTCACTTCCCCCCAAAATCATTTGCATTTAAGATCTAATTCCATTTTTCACTTTCAAAACTTTTCATGCCAATACAAGTTACTAATTCTCTATCAAAGTAAACAGATAATTTTCCACTAGTCTGCAGAGAAAATTAAAGCAAATCCCACTCCTTCCATCAATTAGCTTTAATGGCTTTATTAAAAAAGATTTTCTTACCCCATAAACAAGTTCTCCAACCATCCCATTCCAGATTTTCGTGTCTGCATCCCTCGCCCCATACTTGCCATCCCCAACAATTGTGAGCTTATATTTGAATCCACAGTGTTTAGCAATTTCTGTAGCTAAGTCCACACAATAGCCCTCATATCGATCATTTCCTTCAAGCATTTCATGATTTTTCTTCATCATGACGTATGGGGACTCCTGCACAGAAAGAACTTGCCTTAGCTACTCGGTAAAGAGACAGATGTATCAGTTGTGCACTTCATAGATTAATATGTTTCCTTTAACATGTGAAAAAAAGAGAGAAGATAACATCTGAATCATACATACCATGTATATGTTAATTATTAATGTGACGTGTCCTTAGCAAATTTAAAACTACATTCTCTACAGTCATACATAAATAACAATACTTACAGGCATAGCGATTCCCAGCAGTATGTTAATAATGACCATGAATGTTAACAGGAGTTATGTATTCAGAGAAGAAAAAGTAAGTTCCAAAATCAGTTTCTTTCTCTCATATAGTTTGGATGGAAGAAGGCAAAGGTATTTAGTTGCTTTTGTTGTTGTCTTAATACAAGAAAATTCCTTCCTATTTCACCACCACATCCCTCCCTGGGAAAACACTTCAGGCTCTCCAGGCTGTATCTTTATTGAACTACTACACAAACAATAGGTAAGTTATCTATAACTATGCAGTAAAGTTCTATCATCAGCAAAACTGGTGATGAGTCATAAGTCATATTAAAGTGATGTATCTCCTCTTTTGCTCAGTTGCTACTGAACTGCTCTTGCATGCAGTGAAATACCTGTGCCAGCCTGTGACTTCTTCAAACTGATACAGAAGCTGTGTAGCTTACATAAAAAGTGACAGTACATAATGTTATTTACTAGACAACTAAAATACAACTTCTAATGTTGTAAAACTAATGTTTTAATTTACACTGCAACAATCGAAAGCAGCTACAATTCTGAAGCATAAGAAGCAGTCTCTTTGCTTTTTGGCAAGTTCCATTCTCCAAAACTAACACTGGTTCTGCCTCTCAGACAAAGCTCCTCTCCTTTGAAAGCAGGTATTTAATTTCCCTTTTCAAGTCTAAAAATTTTAACTTTCAAGGATGCTTATTCAATGACCGTTTCTCTTCTACAGAACAAAACCAGAATACTGAATCACATACATTTCCTTAACTTCCAGATTTTATTTATGTATCATAGTGAGTAACAGGTCACAACCTCAAATAATAATAAGACAGTGTATTTAAACTAGCATAATGATGAGAAACAAATCACTGTAGGACAGACTGCCTTTTGACAAAATACGAGGTTAATTACCAAAATAGTGGTGACAATAATAGTCTTATTCTCTAGTCCTGAAGATTCATTTCCAAGAGGGCCATCAAGAGGATTCACAACCATTTTGTCCACTTCACTCCAATATCCAATCTAAAGAGAGTTTATAGGATGCATAGACACCAGTGAATATGAACTTTCATAGAAAAGATAAAGCATAAAGTTATTACTGTGCCCTTGATTTACGCTCTTAACATTTAATCCATGTCTAAACTTTAGCTATGGATTTCCCAGTGTAAATATTTCTATTTATGTAGTTAAAGACTGTAACAAATAGTAAAAAGATTCAACTAACGATATTTGTTTACATCAATTTGTTGTACCAGTATACCTTTTCCATTCACACTTTTAACATGTTTTAGTATTAATATCACATACTGTAGGATTGAAAGGGTTACGAAATACTCCAAATTAGGAAGATATGAGAAACTGGATTTTCCTGAAAGGTTTGGAATTAGAGTAGAAAGATAATCACATTTAAAGAAACATCACTGAAAAGCAGGATTCTCCATTTGTCATTCAGAAGCATATCTCCCCAAATACTAGTTCACATTTAGCAATTCAGATCAGAAAGCAAAAAGTTTAATCCACAAAACTGAAAATACTCTTATGCAGTACTTACCAGAAATAACAACTTGTATTTGTTAGAAAGAAACAATACAGATTTTTACTTTGTTCTGCAAGACCATTGTAGATACAGCTATGAATATTATAGCAACTCATGCTTTAATTAATCTACAGTGTTTCATTACCTACCTTAACCCACTGCTTAGCATGGTAAAATCTTTAAAGACACTGTGAGACAATTCAAATTACCTTCCGAGGACCAGTACTCTTGAGTTCCATGACGTTTATTGTAAAATTGATTCTCTTTCCATTCTGATCAAACTTTATATTGCCTGTCAGACCTTCCACCTGAACCTACACAGATGAAAATGAAAGTGGTAGAAGAATTAAGTGTGTTTCTTTTTAGAAAATGCATTTTGCACTTCCATAAATGTATTGATATTTCAAAAACGTTCAGTTTAGACTCTTTTCTATATGCAATATATTATCTTAGTATGAGACATGTTCCTGAGGAGTTCACTTCCACATTATTCCCAGAAAGATCCAGGTAGGTTAGAAGACTGGACGGTTCTTTTCAAGTATTTATAGAAAATTCACACATGCACTCATCCCAGCATTCGCTCCAGGGAAGCTACCTGTTTCAATGCCCTTTCTATTTCTACACCATGACCCCAGGGTACAGCTGGATTTGCAAGACAATCTCCAGCATTTCCTCTTCTGGAGATCTCAATCCTCTGTTTACGCAAATTACGGAAAGCTTCAGTCATCACTTGAACAGCATCATAGGTCAGAGCAGATGTATACTGAAAAGAAGTGAAAATATTTGATTAAAAACAGTGAAGAGAAATGAAAATATTTGATTAAAAACCAGCTTCAGCTTCACTACACCTTCCAATCCACATTAAACACAGAAACTTATTAAAAATAAAAAGGACAGTAAGATATACTTGAAATTAGACCAGTTTTTCATTAGTTTGGAGGTCACTACACTCTGAGGGTCATCTATGCAAATTAATGAAGTGTTCTCCAATTAGAATGGTTAGGGGCTGAGTTTAGTTTAAATAAGTTTAAACTGAAGATTTACAGCTTTTCTTCAGTGTGAATTACATTCCTTTCTCACTCCAACTGTGTAACATTTCTGTTTGCAGATATGGCTGGAAGTCCATGGAGGTGAAAGGGAAAAAAAGAAATAATTTCCACAATTTAACTTGAGTTAGCCTCTAAAACCAAGAAGTTGTTCCTCTGATTGCACTCTTCATGGAGATGCATTTATATACAGTTCTTTAGACCACATACTGATACACAGAAAACCAAACATATATTTCTATATACATGTGCTTGACTTTGTTAAATATAAAAACTCAGGGGTAGCTATTTTCAAGTATGCAATACCCTGTCAACACTGTGCAAAACCAGGTTTTGCGCTGAGATGTCTGGAGTAAGTGGTGCCCCTCAAAGACCAATATAGGCAAGGAAGAGCTCCATGATCCTAATCTGACACAATATAAGGAGCTTTACAGCTTTAGAGACATCAGAGAAGAAGCCTGCAAACACATGTATTAGACACGGGCTAAACAGTCAAAAGCAGGTATCTTCAATGACTGGAAAATTTTACATCTTAACTAACTGAACAGAAGCCACAAGTGCACATACACTGAGGGCTATGTTGGACGGGCCTTATGAGTCCAGAACACTGCAATCATGTCAAATACAAGGAACATTTTTGGATGTATGGGCCAGAAAATAACTACTTACAGCCTCATGAATGAATCCAATGATCCCTATGAAGGCTATTAGATGCTGAAAATACATAAACTGTAAAGTGGAGAGAAATGATATATTGGCTCTTTGCTTCAATGGCTCAGACTTTAATGAGAATTTTAATTAGCTAGCTCAAGTCATGCAGAAGGCTCTTGTAATTGTAATCAAGGCAGGCTCCTGAATTGAGGTCATTTTTGTATGCAACTGTTAGACCTTGGAGAGGAAGAAAAGGGAGGTGGGACTCTTTTTCAGATATTTAGGCTTACTGAGTGATTAATATGAATCTTCTCATGGAAGTTCTCCCAGTGACTTGTACAGAAATCAGGGATCAGAACAGCAGAAGAATGAAGTGAAGGACTGGCTGGAGCCGATACTACTTTCTACTACTGCAGTAGCAGTGACTAAGTGGTAGACATGGACGAGGAGAACGAGAGGAGAACGAGAGGAGAACGAGAGGAGAACGAGAGGAGAACGAGAGGAGAACGAGAGGAGAACGAGAGGAGAACGAGAGGAGAACGAGAGGAGAACGAGAGGAGAACGAGAGGAGAACGAGAGGAGAACGAGAGGAGAACGAGAGGAGAACGAGAGGAGAACGAGAGGAGAACGAGAGGAGAACGAGAGGAGAACGAGAGGAGAACGAGAGGAGAACGAGAGGAGAACGAGAGGAGAACGAGAGGAGAACGAGAGGAGAACGAGAGGAGAACGAGAGGAGAACGAGAGGAGAACGAGAGGAGAACGAGAGGAGAACGAGAGGAGAACGAGAGGAGAACGAGAGGAGAACGAACAGCCTGTGACTCATTTTTCAGGGACTAACTAGCAATACTTCTTTAAGTGTAGTTCTTTGCAGTACATATTGAACCAAACGAGCATTTTGAAAAAATGTGGATACAGCACTGTCATTAACCACGGAAACTTTGGGTAGCAGAGAAAATAAGAGCTTGAAATTGAAACATTACAGTGCTATCTAATCCAGTTATTCTATGTTTCATTTGATCACTGGGATATGTTTAATGTATTATCTCAATAATATTCACCCTATAATATATAATTACTGGTCAGAATATTCACAACTTAGTCATGCATTCAGTTTGTGTATGGCTTTGCCTATCAATATATATCTGTATGTGTATACATGTCATCACACATAAAATATCAAAATATTTTACAAGCATCTTACACCTTCATGTTGTTGGAGATGTCATGAAAGCAAACAGCCCATGCATCATTTCTTACTGCTTTATTCTGCATTCACTTTCAGCTCTTAATAAACTTCATGGGGCTCATTAAAACTATCTATAGCTTAATGAATAGATGTAAAGTTGACAAACTAAAACAAAGCCACTCATTACCATAAGCAAGAAATGATAGACATATAACCAGCTCCTGTAAAGGGGTGTCTGTGCCTGAATAATAAATAAAATTGTCATAAATTAAAGAATATTAGCCCTGTCCTGATTCCCTTTGTTTTATACTGGAGATTCATCCACATTCTGATCCGCATTATTAAAATAAGTGGAAGCACTATTTGGTATATTATTCTGTTAAAGTGGGATTGGCTCTTACAGCCTACTACTTTTACAGCAGTGTAAATCTCCTAACTTAATTTCTGTTCCTTTCAACTTTACATGATAAAAATCAGCAACTTTAATACAAAATGGTGTAGGTACTATCCTATAGTTCCTACAGAAACACCCATATTAATTAAAGCATAACAAAGAACATGAAAAAAAATCTTGCTTCTCCTAATTCTAGACCTATGATAATAATAAACTGATAATATTGATTATAATATAATGCACTGAAGTGCCTAAGCATTTTATGTTACTTGCTATGAAACATGAACTGCATGCATGTCATACGGAAAGAATTCTCCCTCTCTAAATAAATGCTCTCATCAAGCAGAGAAAACACCAGGTCCATACGTGACTTTATTCAACTTAAATTTAAAATGTACTATAGACTTGAATAAAATTTGTAAGATGCAATTGCAAAGATGAATTTGCAAAGTAACAACAAAACAAAGTCATTCCAGGCTAAGCAGAAGATATTAAACATGTGCTGTCAAAGAAAAACTGGCAAGATATTGACTTTTGCAACTTTTGCTGTTTTCCAGTAACTCAGAAGATACCAGACATCATTAATTAAAAGGTCCAATACCCTATTTCGTACAATCAGTAACTGAATCTTCTGGAGATGAAATTGCAGAAGACACCCCCAGAAGCACCCCTAGATTTTGTTATACATACATTTTAAAGCTGTAAGATATTATAAAAAGATGTAATGTTAGCCTGTTAGTCCTGTATTTAACCCTGTGTCTGTCCATGTGCTGAAGACACAAAGTTGAGGGATATGCTTACAGACTTAAAATATAGCAATAAAAGAATATACTTGAGCAGTGGAAAGGGAATGAAAATGTGAAGACAAATAAATAATTTTTTTAAAAGAAGAAAAAAGAGGAGTATTCTGAATCATAAATTATCAAATAATTTTTTTCTCAATTTGGATATCTGCAATTTCTAAGTCTACTCTTGCCATACTAGTTGTTTTTTTTACAGTCAGAGAAGAGAAATAAGCATTTTAAGGTGTGATTCATTTGACCTGTTAGACACCTTCTTTAAGATGAAATGAATTGTGCCTTAGATTCCATTAATTTGATCTCCAGTGACTTCTGAGACTACTGGAGGAGTCCAGGGCAATCAGCTTAGATACATATGTCTACACTGTAGACACACTAAAAACAAATTAAAACCACTCAAGGGGACTATGAACTAGCCGTTCAGCCCTAATCTAACACAACAGTGAGAAAGACAAACAAAATAATAGGATATTTTGGGCAGAAACTGTACCAGCCAAGTCAAAGAACACAGTGCTAGTATACAAGACACAAGGGAGATCTTGGCTAGAATGGTGTATTCAGCTGAAGCAGTGTTCAAGAAGGCTGAAACCTGTCTGAAACAAGCACAAAAGAAGGTTCCTCACCACATATGGGGGGCTGCTATTGGGATAGCGGAAGGGATGCAGTCACTAACTGAGGTTAAGAGAAAGGAGGTCTAAAATCATATGCAAATGTTTTTCCTTGGAGAGAGGTAAGATTCAAAGAGAGGTAATGTAGGAAATGTTCTTTGTTGCAAGAATAAGTGGGTGGAATCAATGGGTATAAGCAAATTTTCAGCATTTTCCCTTATATTTAAACATACTTAAATATCAACAAATATACATCAAAGGCAGTAAAGACACAAACTGTGTGTTCTTATAGCTTGTGGTATATTAAACATTCTGCTTACTGAGCTGTAGCAATTTTTTCCCAATGGTTCTCTACGCATTTTATCACTCTGATTGTAATACTTCACTAAACTATACACAGACTAAATTGGGATACCAAATGGTGTCTTGTTTTAATACATGGTACAGCTTTATTTTGCTCTGAGAATTATATTCAATAAAATCCCTCATCTGAATTCTGTGCATTTTTTTCCACAACAAAATTCAGTATATACCACAAAAGCAGAATTGCCTTTTCACAGTGCTTTGTATTATAGTTGTGCTTTTTGGTCAAAACAGTCACAAAACTCTATCAAATTGCTTGTAATTTCAGACGTAACTGCTAGAAACTGGCATATAGATCTGGAAGCATTCCTACATTTTTTATATATTATATATATAAAAAACAGGTATATACATATATAAACCCATAAGCAAAAGGAATGAGAGACAGTTATTTGCAAAGAACTAGAAAAGGAATGGGGTAACTACCTCCTGTGACTTTCTAGGTAGCTAACCTAATGCAACTTGGGACCCTATTTCTTAAGGTTCTTTCTTTAGTTAACATATCTGGGGGTTATTTTGAAACTGACAGTATTACATGCATTTTGGAAAACATTTTAAGATGAAAGAGTTAGTAGAAAATCGACAAACCGATAGGAAATGGCTACCTCCTTCAGGATGCCTTGGGAATGGAGCATGGGAATGCAAACAGTTACTTTCAATAGAAATAAGAGACATTGTCAAATATTGTACAGATAAATGTCATTGTAAATCCAGA